CCTTTACGCACAACTTGTGGAGGGAAGTGAGGCGGCTGAGAAGAAGGCAACGGAGATCATGCGGCCAACAACACTTGTGAGTGGCAGAGATGTCTACATGCTGCTGGGAAACTACAGCCGTGCACAGTCTGCAAGTCAAGTTTCCGGCAAAACTGGCTGGAATCTTTTGCTGGTGAAGGGAACTGTGACTGACGAGGATGAAACGAAGAAAATCGAATGGAGTGAGACCCATGCGGTGCAGCCTGAATCCGTGGGAAGCCTTGCCTCCCTGACGCAGTTGGTCGGCGGCGGAGGCTCGGGTGTTGTGCTGAAGGACGGTACGCTTGTGTTCCCCATGCAGGGAATCAAAACTGGTGAAAAGAGCGTCTTGCTCGCCTTGCGCTTCACGCCATCGAAGAAGAAGTGGGAGCTTTCATCCGGTACGACCGGTGAGGGCTGCAGAGACCCGTCCATCGTGGAGTGGGGGGGCGAAGAGAAACTCCTCGCGATGGCTCCCTGTGAGGGAGGGTCCTACGAAGTCTATCCGTCCTCCGGGGCCGGTGCAGCTTGGTACCCGAGAGGCGAGCCAATTACGCGCGTGTGGGGCACCTCGCCGAACCGTCAAGGAGGGGACGGCGTGCAGAGCGGCTTCATCACGGCGGAAATAGAGGGAAAAAAGGTGATGCTCCTCACCACGCCGGTGTACTCAGGGGACGCAGGCAAAGAAAAAGGGGAACTGCATCTTTGGCTGACCGACAGCGCCCGCGTGCACGATGTCGGACCGGTGTCACGTGAAGCCGATGACGCCGCTGCCAGTTCCCTGCTGTACAAAGGCGGTGCGTCGGGTGAGGAGTTGATGCTACTGTACGAGAAGAGGGAGAATGGAGACACTTACGGCCTCGTATCTCTGAGCCTGGCAAAGCAGCTGGAGCAGATAAAGTCCGTGGTGCAGACCTGGAAGGAAATGGACGCCGCCTTGGAGAAATGCAAACCCGGTGGCAGCGTTGACCCGCTGACAGAGGGCGTGTGCAACGGCCCTGTTCCCACGGAGGGTCTGGTGAGCCTTTTGTCCCACACACTGGCCGGGACTGAGTGGGTGAACGAGTACCGCGGCGTGAACGCAACGGTGAAAGGTGGCGCTGAGGCGGGCACGGCGGGGGGTGTGAAGTTCAGCGGCGCCGGCGCGGGGGCGGAGTGGCCTGTGGGGAAACTGGGGCAGAACCAGCCGTACCACTTTGCGAACAAGGATTTCACGCTTGTGGCGACGGTGACCATCCACGCGGTGCCGGTTGAGAAAGATGGCAGCTCTCTGCCTTTGCTGGGCGTGAGGATGAATGACACAGACAGCACCGTGCTCTTTGGCCTGTCGTACACGCAGGACAAGAAGTGGAAAGTGACGGTCGGCGGTCAGAGCCGGAGTTTGACAGATGGTGATGATGTGACGTGGGAACTAGGCACAGCCTACCAAGTGATCTTGCAGATGAATAATGGCAATGAGTTGTCTGTGCACGTTGACGGGGCCGAGATCTACGCGAGCGAAGATGAAGAAGATGATGATGATGAAGATGATGACGGCGACCTCGCTTCTGAGGTGGAAGAACTGTTAGAGCCGCACAGGATCTCGCATCTCTACGTTGGTGGGGACGGGGAGGAGGGCACGAAGACCAGCCACCACGTGACGGTCTCCAGCGTCCTGCTGTACAACCGCGCACTGGGTGAGAGTGAAATCACGCAGCTTAAAAACAGCAAAGTAACTCAGCCGCGGCCGGCTGCTGCCTCCCACGAGCCCGGCGATGATGCGCGGGACACCGATAATGCTCCCGAGCAGGGGTCTGGAGAAATGGGCGCTGACGGTATTCCAGCGGCTGGAGCCCTTCAATCTGTGGCCTCGGGGGCTACTGACGGGCAGGAGGCCGGTGGGAAGGCAGACGCCGCAAATCTCTCTTCTGTGGAGCCGGTGGTGGAGTCGTCGCCTTCCGCGCCCCCGTCCCCGGCGGAAGTAAAGGGACAAGAACCGGGCAGCAGCGACGAGGCGGTGGGGGCAGGCGGCGGGGCGCAGTCGCCGCAGCCACCGGAGGAGGCCAAACGTGAGGGCGGTGGTCACGGTGTTGGTGGAGCCGAACTGCCTCCTGGCGGCCGTGCCTCGCCCATCGCGGCGGGGGAGGGGGCTGGAGAAGAGGAAAGCCGCGAGGGTGCATCGGCGTCTCCGCCGGCGCCATCCGCATCGAGTGTGGACCCTCCTGCTGCACCGGGCGGCAGTCAGACGCATGCCGGTGAGCCTGCCACCGCCAGTGGGAGTCAAGCCGTTGACCCCGAAGAGAACAATGCCGCTTCAGGCGCAGCGGTGAGCTCAGGCGGCAGCCCTGCTTTGACCGACGACGCCGAACCGCCCGCCGCGAAGGAGGCACCCGGCGCTTCTTCGCCTGCCACCGCTGAAATGCCTCGTGGAGACAATGAGGAAATGTCGCAGGGCGTTGAGGACGCACCGGCTAATAAAAACACGCCACCCGCACCTCCGGCTGCCCCTTCGACGCGCGACGCGGCGCCGCACTTGAGCAACACCTCCGCTGCCTTCAAGAACATGACAGAATTGAGGCTCAGCGAGGGAGCCAGCGACGGCGCTGTGCGTGGGTGTGTGTCTCGGCTATTGCTGCTTGCCCTGCTGGGGCTGTGGGGCACGACGGCTCTCTGCTGAGTGCAAGAGGGAGAGCGGATTTGTAACTCCTCGTGGAGAGTGCGCGCTGCGACCCATGCGGGTCTCTTCATTTATATATCCTGTTTTTTGTTTTCCTTCTTTTGCCTGTTCCCCTTCTTCTTTCCTATTTGGGCTTTGCTGGAAAAACCAGCACCCCATGTTTTTTTTGTTTGCTTCTCTAATGGTCGCTTGCTATACGCACTGCTATGGGCGGCGCACACTCCTCCCCCTCTTCTTTGCTGCTGCCGCCCACTCACACACACACACAACCACGCGGTGCCGGCCGTACTGCTGTGCGTCGCACGGATTTTGGCGCAACTGATGGGCTGAAGCGCAGGCCGAACTCCGCAGGAAATGTGCGAGGGATGTGTGGGCTCATGCAGCATGGGAGATGTTTTTGTTTTCTTTTCTTCGTGCAGCTGTTAAAATATACACACCCTCACCGTCCTCTTGTGCTGCTGGACGCGTGAGGTAAAGAAACCCCTGCCGAAGCAATTCTGTTTTATCTTCTTGTTTGTTTGTGTTTCCCCTGAGTCCTGCTGGGCTTCCGCCTCTTTGTTTTGGGACCAGTTCTTTTTTGTTGGGGTAAGTCACTGCGGCCCAATTTGAGTTTGTGAGCCGTGTTAGCCACCGCCGCTGCGTGCCTCCGTGCTCTGTTTCCCCCTACCGCCGCCGGCTGTGCCGCCGACACGCCCCCATTTCCTCCTCCTCCTTCCCCTTCCCCTTCCCGCTAAAGGCACTTTTGGTTTGCGGCGACGATGACTCGTTTTTTGTTGTCCGCAGCGGCATAGCAGCGGCAGACGGTGCGGCGGCCTTTGCGCCCGCTCCGTCTCTCTCGCTGCGGCTGTGGGTGTGCGCTGTGCGGCTGGCGTGTCTTCTCCTACGCGTCTTCTTCCACCCCTCGCAGGGCGGGAGGGGTAAAGGGAGCGGGGAAGTTTGGGGAAGGGGGCGGGTGACTGTTCGCCCGCCCCGCCCACAAGTTGGGGCCTTCAACACACGCGACTTTTTTGACAGCTTCTTGTGGCGCCCCTGCTGTTGGGGCGAGGGAGAGTGTGGAAGTTCTGCTTTGAGCAGGTGTGGAAGGAAACAGACAGCCCGCTGTGCAATCTTTTTGACGTTATTGGGCAACACGCACTGAAAACGGAAATCTCAACACTTCTGGAGTGAGATATATATACCGTTCCGTGTGTGGGCTGCTTCCGCGGTGAGGTTTGCCGGTGTGGGGCCCTCTTGCTGCCCGAGGAATGCGAGTTTAGCCGCGGGAGTTGAAATCGAGCGGTTTGTTGCGTGGTCGCCGTACGATTTGCTTCGGAAGTGTTTCTGCG